GACTCCATTACTTCTGCGCGGTTTGTGGCTCTACGCACGTACTTTCTCCTGCCGATCCCACTTGTACTCCTTTGGCACGATCTCGGTATTCTAACGATACCACGAGATCGCCAGCAAATATATCTCGACTACAGCCATCACCTGTCTTCTGATATTGGCCTACGGGAATTTTATTGGTTTACTGGCACGTAGTCTTGTAGCGGTGTTCATAATCAAGCGCGGTTCGACACCACGCTACAATTGGTGAGCCAAATCTGGGAACACGCATCAACCTCCGGTCAAATCTTCCAAAAGTCAATCCGGTGAGTCTATTGTTTATCTATCCACGTCTGTCGTATATTTTCATATTAATCTTTAATATATAATATACCCGACATGACAGATAGCGATAAAAGCAGCATTAATATTTTAGACTCAGATGTACAGGCTATCTATTTTCGACCTGTACCGTTTATTCTCCATGACTCAGGGGTTTGGTTTGCTGCAATAGAGTCTAAATTCGAGACTCGCCGCATTTCAAGCCACTAGTCACGGCAAGACCATGCCGACTGGCACCGGACAATTGAGACTCTACTGCAGCAAACCAAACCCCTGGGTCATGGGGAATAAACGGTACAGGTCGAAAATAGATAGCCTGTACATCTGAGTCTAAAATATTAATGCTGCTTTTATCGCTATCTGTCATGTCGGGTATATTATATATTAAAGATTAATATGAAAATATACGACAGACGTGGATAGATAAACAATAGACTCACCGGATTGACTTTTGGAAGATTTGACCGGAGGTTGATGCGTGTTCCCAGATTTGGCTCACCAATTGTAGCGTGGTGTCGAACCGCGCTTGACTATGAACACCGCTACAAGACTACGTGCCAGTAAACCAATAAAATTCCCGTAGGCCAATATCAGAAGACAGGTGATGGCTGTAGTCGAGATATATTTGCTGGCGATCTCGTGGTATCGTTAGAATACCGAGATCGTGCCAAAGGAGTACAAGTGGGATCGGCAGGAGAAAGTACGTGCGTAGAGCCACAAACCGCGCAGAAGTAATGGAGTCCAATGGAAGGCCAATATGGCTGTCATTAGCACAGTTAAACAAACGAGCACAGTAAAACAATCACTGGTACAATTGGTTATAATTATAATTGTTTTCATTGAACCAATCGCGTTCTGTTGACAAAAGTAGGTCACTACAGGAGCCCTCCACTAGAAAGGGTTTACACTTTCGATAGGTAGCGGTTTGGTTCGTGGGACTGGTCGGCAAAAATGCGGTTGTAGGACGGAAGAATTGGCGAAACAAGAAGTGATCTTGGATCCTCGAGTTGCCAACGAAGGTCTTTTGCATATAACGGTACCAGGAGAAGTGTGCTGTATTTGTTGCTCGAGTTAGCATACCACACCAGAGTGGTTTGTATCCAGGATCTGAAGATTGCGTTCGTAGGGATGCGGACCAGAAAACGCTGCAGACGTAGGACGAAACCACGTTGAGCCAAGAGACCGGAAGCGACCATAACGACCAAGCGCGAAACGAAGCGTATGCCAGACGGATTCGAAACCAGATTATCGACTGAGTGTGTTGACAAGAGCGTGGGTGATCAGGCCAGCTTTCGCCAAGGTTGACTGGAGTCGACGTTACCAAACGGGCGATGGTCGGAGGCGTGGGCTCAGGATACAAAAAAAATCAAAAAGAGACAAAAAAGTGTAGCATGCATGCAGTATAGGAATAGTCCTACACCGTATCCACTGTTGACTGTGCGGTTAGTCGCGAAAGCGTACGGGTAAGTGTACTCGGCGACCGGAACGTGAGACGGTAGTCTCGTTCGTACTTCGTGAGCCTGCGATCTCATCCGAGGTCAAGGGCTGCGTGGTCTGCTGATCTGGACGTGAGACGGAAGTCTCGTCCGTAGATGGTGCAGATGACGCGTGCTGTTGACCGAGACGTGAGAACGAGATCTCTGGTGTATCTAGCGTGGGATCCGAGGAGGATGTAGAGATCCCGCTAGTAGGTTTGATAGGTCTAGCATTGAGTCTCAAGTTATCGGGTAGGGCACTGTCATCGACGTGTGCTGGTTTGAGACGATCAATGTTGATGATCTCGACGCGGCCATGTCGATCAATCTTGAAGGCCTTTTCGTGACGAGAGATCACGTGGAAAGGTCCTTCGTAAGGCTGTTGCAAAGGTTTGCGTACCGAATCTACTCGTATGAAAACATGTGAACAGGTAGATAACTCTTGAGGGAGAGCGACATGTCGATGTTGTATTCGAGTTGACAGCGCTCGCATAAATGCAGACAGTCGATGGACGTAGTCTGATTTGCCGAAATCGTTACTGCTCCGTGGTGTGAAGAATTCCCCAGGCAGACGCAATGTCGTGCTGTATACAAGTTCAGCGGCGGAACATTGAATATCTGCCTTCAAACTCGTTCTGATACCTAGGAGAACGAGCGGTAAGGTTTTGTACCAATTGCCGTTTTCGTGTGCTCGGAGAGCACTTTTAAGTTGGCGATGAAACCGTTCAACTAAACCATTTGATGCTGGGTGGTAGGCGGTAGTGCGTATGCGTTCCGTACCAAGCAGCCGGGTAAGTGAGGAGAATAATGCGGACTCGAATTGTTGTCCTCGGTCAGTCGTGACGGTCGAGGGACAACTATACAGTGCTATCCATCGTTCTACGAAGCGGTGAGCAACTGTCTCCGCCGTAATAGACGTGATGGGAATAGCTTTGGGCCATCTTGTAAAACGGTCGATGCACGTGAGTATGTGATCATACCCATGCGATGGTGGCAATGGTCCTACAATGTCTATATGAACGTGATCGAAGCGATCATCAGGCGTAGCGAACGTGCCAATGGGGGCAGCTACGTGCCTGTGCACTTTTGATCGTTGACACTGTAAGCATTGCTTTACCCACATACGAACATCTTTATTCATGGACGGCCAGACGTATCGTGCAGCGATGAGACGTAATGTGGCTGCGATACCTGGATGAGACAATCCATGAAGGGCATCGAAGACGAGACGGCGATAGGCAGAGGGTACGATAGGTCGAGGAAGACCGGTAGAAGTATCACATAGGATAGTACCTGAGCTAGTAGCTAGGGGTACTTCCTGGCACTGAAGGGACGAAGATTGTGGTACTTCTGTACAGAAAGGATCGTTTGCTTGCGCGGCGGCCATAGCAGGAAGATCGAGAACCGGTAAGGTAACTGCATTCGCTTCGATACGTGATAGAGCATCGGCAACATAGTTCGAATCGCCTTTAATGTGACGAAGGTCTGTCGTGAACTGGGAGATATAGTCCAAATGTCTGCACTCTCCTGGTGAGTAGCGGTCAGACTTGGTATGCAGGGCATACGTTAAGGGCTTATGGTCGGTGAATAAGATGAAATTACGACCTTCTACCGCGTGCCGGTAATGTTTGGTGGCACAGTAGGCTGCTAGCAGTTCGCGACTAAAAGCGATATATCTCGTCTCCGTGGAATTTAGATATGGGCACAACCATCATATTGCAAGCTGTGGACGAAATCTTTACATTTCTCTTATTGTAACAAACTGCGTTTCTTCTAAAAGCGTACAAGACAATAATGCAATGAATAATGTACAAGGTATTGTTTAGAAGTTACTGAAATACGGAGTATCGTAAACGATGAAGCATTGATTTAGGATTATCTGTCACATGAAGGTTAAGATATAGTAAAAATATCCAGTTAATTTAAAAACACACACTACTTCTGTCAAGTGCTTAGACCGTTATGAATGATAGGTAGATTATTATCCAAAGAGTTTTATAACTGGACGTCGAAGTGTGTGTGATATCATAATCATCATAATTGAGCGAATGAAGGCTTCAAACACTTAGAAAATTCTCATGGTGATGTTAATAAGGACGTCTCCCAGCATAGTGGAAAGTATCGTAAACCATAGGATAGTAAGCAGTTTTGAGATTTTGAATACTGAAGTCATTGTGAAAGCGATAGAGGCTTGAGGTTTGGGTAACCTATGGGTAACATGTAGAGGTCAATACGATGGTTTAAATACCTGTAGTATTAAGTGAACATTTAGTCCCGAGTATATCACAAATCATATGGAAAACCTTCTTTTAATAACAACCATATGGAAGCAGTGATGAATTTTTTAAAGTACTAGACTCTCAACAAATAGGACACTGATTTAAAGGGTATTCCCCTTCATAGCTGAAGAGTACTGGATCTAAATCTCAGAAGAAACGGCAAAATCTGAATGCTGGTACATCCACCTAACGAGTTCCAGATACGATAAAATGTACACCTCCATTTCAAATACGTAAGAAAACCATTAAAATCATAAATCGATTTGAGTTAGACCACCAATGAAAACCTGGAAGCACTGGACAGCCATTTCATCCTAGCATGTGACTACTTAGGAGTGAGCATTTACGATCCCACACGCGTAAGTAGAACCCAGCACCCTCGATTTTGCGCACGAACGCTTAACCCATAGACCACCGAGCTGGTAATCACTGGTGTAAAAGTCTAATTTCAACCGGTCAATGGCATCGCATGAATATCTTCCACTGTATAAGGTAAGTAAAGGCCTCACACCCGACACGGATTAGTTTTATCGGTCACGGCTTTTCACTAGAACTCTGGAAATTCCCTCTGACAGCTAGTCACTAGTAAGCACATTGTGATTTTCTGTATGGGATTGTGAAGATCATTGAATTTCATTGTTGGTGGTCTAACTAAGATCGATTTATGATTTCAGTGACATTCAACAATCTCCACACACCATACTGAAAAGCTGTAAGAAATTTAATTTATAAAAGACTAATTATAGACTATCAAAACGAAATTACCACTATGTTTCAAGAAAAACCTAGTATAATTATGACAACAGCATATAAACCGTAATGACTTCGAAATGATTGTAATGATTGGAAATATTAGTTAAATAATATTAGTCTGATTTCCTTATGAAAACATATAAACGAGCATATAACTTAGTTAAATATAAATCTACTATAATAAACAAACTAAAAAACTTGAAAAATAGTAAGAAAACAGCTTAATTACTTGGATTTATCGATGGTTGTTTGGTTAGATATTTCAGAAACGCGAGTTAAAGCATTCCGGCTAACCGGTGTCAATTGAGGATAAGTTACTTGGTGACTTGTTATATATTTCTTTATTCTATTTAACTTTTTAAGAGGTTGCGAAGATTGAGTCATTAAGCGTTGGTTGATACTGGAAGCCAACTCAGTAGTCTGCCCTCGGACATAAGTATTTAATTCACTCATAGGATTACTGGCTTCGGTGAAGTGGGATTGAGTTACAGAAGTCTGAATAACATATCATAATCGAACCAAAATAGAGCTTACAGAATAACCAAGATTAACACGTGATTCAAGATGAACTATTGGAGTAGAGCATTTTTCTGGTCGGTAGTTGCCTTCTAGAGAACATGATTTTAGAAAAAAAGAAAAAGCACTCACATCGTATTATTCTACAGAATGTGATACATAACTAACAGAAACTTTTCACTGACGAAGAAACTTGATGAACATTTATTTCTTATAAGTCAGTCACTGGGAAGAAAAGTCCATAACAAGCATCTACATGTACATTTATTCAAAAGGTCGTGAACTTAATTTATTAGGTAAGGGTAACTGATACTTTGATATCTGAATAGAGCGGTTTACGAACCATGATCCAATGGTAGAAAGTTGATTAATTAAACATGTGAATTGCAGCTTATCAAAGTGGAAGGAGATAACACAGAGATAATTGTCATCATTAGGCTCACTCAAATTCACTTATAATAAATTTTAGGAAGGTTGTATAAAGTATCTCTGCTGAGGAAATCACTATTTATGTAACGTTTTTCACCAGAAAGGGAAGCTTCTAATCAAGAGATTAGTTAACAACTTTTGAAATAAACCCTTTAGAAAAATAATTAGGTCATCTTATTATGACAACTGAAAAGACGAAGTCATGCCAATTCTATTCACCAGAATCCTGCATAATTCATCTTCAGCAAAGATTCAATCCAAAATCTTTTATGCACGTACAGCACATGAGTTGTAATAAATCATCAACAAAAAGCCACGTAATAATAGTGTGGTGAACGAGAACATAAATGAGGACAATCGAATGTATTTGAACACATAACTGCAGAACATCTTAGTAAAATCTGAGAACCATACAGTAAATACTTAATTTGCGAAATGTCATTCAATTGTCTCAGACTTCATTGTTTCTTCGCTTCCACAGCAATCATTCACTGTTCTCGTTTTCTTTTCTCCGATCTTCTTAATCTTCTGCCACCAGGCATTTCATTTTCGATTGATGATACATACTACTTATATCTGTCGACATCAGTAACACATCACAGTAGCATTTAGAGTACAAACATTATTATCAATATACCCAGTGGTATGATATAACACTAATTGTAACATCGAAGTTTTTTTCATAAAACAAATCTATGATTAGAAGACAAAACAGTACACTACAAATTTATTTTTTCATACTAAATTATCAATGAACATAAGATAATACATTCAGCAAAAAAAGTTATTCTCTTGTAAAAGAGCACGATAAATCTACAGTTTAACTCATAAGTGAACCTAATATAATACAATAAAACGAGTGTTTTAGGTTATCCAGCATGAACCAAAAAATGTATTTTCTTTAGTTTGAATTTTAACTCTAATAATATATAAAAATTATTTTTTTAAAATCGCGACTAATAATAATGGAGTAATCGATTAACTCATCTCGAAGAAGACTGGCCGATTCAGATGGGTTAAACTAGTACAAGTATCTTGGACCCTATAAGAAGACTAAATTATACATACTATGCCGTTTTTAGAACCCTAAACTGATAATGTTGATGCGATTCTTCGCGACCAAATTAATTAGTTAACATTTTTAATCAATATGACATCTTTCTAACGAAATGACACATATGAAAAACAATATCAAAGACAGATTTTCATTATAGTATATTGAAAACAAATACTAGAAGATATTATATATCGCCCAAGGTGACTAGAAGCATGCATATTTGATTGAAACTAACTAGCAAGATCATGTTGTCTGTATACCTTTATGTTATGAATTTCTGGTTATGATGAAAGAATTGTTGTTTTTTGTCAAAGTAAATCAATGACAGATGATGTGGAAAATCACTTAACTTGTAGTGTCTGTCATTATGTTAAGCCCAAATACCTTATTATTCTAACTTTCGGACAACCCATTCTATTCATTCTATTTGAGTCACATTCTAACCTTGTTAATTATTCGCTTATCAATATCTTGACTGTCTTTGTATGAGCGCGTAGGCGTATGCACACTTCTTATCCCGTTACCCATCATATGTCTGTAATTTATTTTTGTGGGCTTATAAATATTGATCAGCTCTTTGTTAAGAGGGTGTTGGCTTACCAGCCATCTCCACCGCGCGCCAATTTAGCTTCGCTTTCCCATCTTCGTATCGTTCCTCTGTTCGTTTGTCTAATCAACAATTATACAAAATATATGCATTCAAAATTCCATCCTCGTTATTTGACTTATTTAATTCCGCTATTAACTAACGCGATTTAAGTCAATAATTATATACATGCGATGAGTAACGGGATAAGAAGTGTGCATACGCCTACGCGCTCATACAAAGACAGTCAAGATATTGATAAGCGAATAATTAACAAGGTCAGAATGTGACTCAAATAGAATGAATAGAATGGGTTGTCCGAAAGTTAGAATAATAAGGTATTTGGGCTTAACATAATGACAGACACTACAAACTTGATCACCTCACAGCATATCCCCAAGTGATTGTATTTGCACACAGTTTCACCACAAAAACATTTGCCAGGTTGGTACACTTCTGTTAAGAAATGCTGGGACAAGAATTGTTTAATGGGACTAAACATACCTTATATGTCAAGGAATAAAGCGAGTTAAGGACTGTTAAATAATCATTTGTGTCATAATTTGCCACAGAACGAAAATATAACCAAAAACTTTTCAGTTGAACGGGAAGGATATCTAGTACTCACTTGGGACTCAAAGATTTTTAATTCTTAAGTTTTAAATAATCGATCGAAAAAGCGAATTTGTCCTTGATCACTGTGTAATCAAGGCTGACTTTCATACTTTAATTATCACTTTAATCCACATAATAATTTACAGTCAATGAATTCTGCATAATACACACAACAAAATTTAATAGAAACAAATTTCGGAAAGATATAGAAAGCTGAATGCAAAGAAAGTGCTTATTCGATTCGTCTTGTAGTTCAAAAAAGGAGGATATTCAGAACGAGAAATAGAAATCTGTATATTCATTAAGTTTTTTGACCTATAGGAGCCCAAGGTTTTCAGGATTGTAGGTTTTGTGAATTTAAACATATTCCAAGCATAAGTTACAGAAGCCTGAACTACGACAGCTACTAAATTTAGGACCGGATAGATTCCTTAATACAGAGGCATGTCTTGTAATTTGTGTGGATTATACTTCACTTATATATGTATTAAAATTATTAAGGTTGCAAGTCAAAAGAGTGGTGAAAAGAAGTCAAAAATTAATGTTCCTCCTGAAACATCCTGCAGTTTCACAAGCTGAGGGATGAATCAAAATTGTATGATATTGAAACATGTGATGTCTGGGCGAGTTAAATTCGAACACCGGCTGGAGTTAAGTACTGCAGTTCGAATTTAACCATTAATAGTTTGGAACCAAGAAACATTTGCAACTGCAGTAGGAGTAACATGTCTTATTGTCAGACACATGAGAAAGCAGAATTTAAAGCAGGTTGGGGTTATAACTTCATGTAGCTGCATGTCTTTTGAATAACTTACTAGTGAATTATATGAGCTAAAATAACCTACAAAAATTGACAAGACTCAATCACTTATTAGTGCATTGTAAATTCAACTAATGGTCAACTGGGTTTTCTAGTAAATCAATAACACTGGAAATAGCTTAATCTAAAACTCAGCTTCATTGCTTGATGAGATCTTCGAAAACGGCTTTGAAACAATAGGTGCACTTAACAACCTCAGCTAAAACTTCCTCTTATTTCATACACATGATGTTGAGGATGGAAAGTCTCGTCTAAGATTACTTTGATCTCCAAGACACGGCAATTGTTTGGAAACTAGTTACTTGTTTGAGTCTTATTCGATATACAGATACCAAATAAAAAAATTTGTATAGTACATTGACACTATTAAGCCTTAGTTACAGGTACTGGCAAATAAAAAGGTTTCATACCTTCTTAAAAAACAATTTTAAAGTATATATCTCCATTTAAAACAAAAACACATACTTGGGAATTCTCAAGAAATTAATACCGGACATTAAAATAGATCTGAAAAACACGACTGACTAACTTGAATCTACATCTTCACTTTATTAGGTGGATTTTGAATAAATATAAAAAACAAAGACTTGAAGTACCAGTCTTTAAAAAAAGAAACTAAAAGGGACGACCCGACGATTAGACTTCTCATTTACACGCAGTGTAGTAATATTACAGACAATTTGAAACTTCAAAACAATAGTATGATTGAAACTAGTTTCTGAGAATCAGGAAACCTACTTAAAGCAGTGACCACAGTGTGTCTCATGCAACTTATTGATGCTTGTAATGAGACAAGAAGTAAACATACACCGTAATAAGTGTCTATGCATACTTACCATCAACTAGGAGGGAGTTGTTTCGAACTAAAACAAAAAAAAAAACAAATATTGTGAAACTTGAACAAGCTGATAAAATTAAACTTGAGAGTCGAGGCACATTGTAAAGTGCTAACCTGAATTGGGACATGCAGCAACTGGGAGAACGTCGAGACCACCATTTGTGTTTAAATTAACCGTGCAACTATCTAACAGTTCAGCAGAAGATAAATGTTTGTCCGAACGTTTCTTGCCATTGTGATTGAAACGCCTAAATGGACTAAGAAACATATGCGCCAAGCGTTTTTGCTTTGTGGGAATGTTTGATACACGACTATCGGAATGAAAGACTGTGTGCGCTGCCATACTCCACTAGAAATAAACAGTAACGCTACTTTCATAAATAGATACTAGGTCGTCTTCCATGTCCAATTTATTTTGTGAAACGACTTCAAATTGCAAAACCAACATGATTAAGAATGACCCTTTGAATTTTCTGGGGTGAAATTATCAACTTGTTTTTCCTTGAAATCTGCGTCTGTTGTACGTAGGAAGTCCTAATAACGGATCAGCATAGTTTTTGTTCGTTTCATAAAACGAAGTGGAGAAAAAACTTTGGTTAGTTATTAGTGTGATCGTGAAGCATCAGATCCAGATGCTGCTCCTAATGAAACTAAAAATATGGCAAATTTTGAGCTTTTTCGTGAGCAAGTAAGTAGTTTCTGTTACTATCTGCCGAGTTAGGTAATACTTTAGTTTACAGATTGTAAACATGTAATGAATTATCAGCCCAATTAAAAAAGGCCTAGCCATTTTAGTGCAGTTTCTTTGATACGCTTGTCGTTGTAAAATTTTTGGCACTTATCATAAATTTGGCTAGCAAGAAGTTCGTTAGATTCCATTCAAATTTCTTTACGTTTCACAGAAAATAGTTAAAGATGACACGTGCATGACAGCTCTGTTGTCCGTAATACCTATACAATCGACTATATTAAATCCGGTTACAGGGCTTTGAAGATATATTTGGAAGACGGACGACGAGTCAAGAATAATGTAACATAAGCCGACTAGTGACTGTGAGTTATCCATAACACGACTTATCTAATGGTGATCTAAAGATGATGTTTGACTGAACACATTCAGCCAAGGTTTGTCAGTGAAACTAATGTTGTCGGTATCAGTTGTAAAGAGTTATTTATTCCTAGTACATGGGAAGTAGGGTGTATCGTACTAGCATTCCAAGACCAATCAAAATGAAGCGTGAACTAACATCTCCGAAATTTTTGCAAGCAATGACGTTGGACTTTCTTCGTTCTGTGTTTTTCTGCCGGATTTTAAGTGTCCCTGCAGTATTTAGACTTTCGGAGTGTCAAAATCCTGTAATTCATGTGGTGGTCTTTTTTCGAATAAGTTTGTTTTCTCGACTTTCACTACAATAAATACTCAGGTAAGTGTATTCCTCACGAACAATTTACGTGTTTTATATTACAAAATTTTAATACATTTTGATTTGAGTATTTTCTTGTATATGTCAGGCATCACGCCAATTGTTTTTTTTTCTATGATCAGTGTTGCTGCGAGATGAGATTTTCCAACTGTCCGCATGCACATTTCTAAATGCTGCTTATCGAAGACCTCGAAAGAAAACGATTCCCTGTCTGTTATTCTCTTCAGTATTGTGAACGAACCCCTCCGTCAAAGAGTCGAACAAATACTGAGTGTTCAGTTGTGGACCGCAAATATGTATTCAAAAGAATTGAGAGGCCCAGTGATCTGACAAACTTAGACCAATTCAGGAATGCTGTCCATCACTTGAAGAAGGTTAGTTATTAAAAATAGACCATCCAACGTTTTTTTCATGAACTGGACACAGCTCATGCCACATGAAGGCAAGCTGAACGATGAAGGTTCAGAGAGCCGCGATCATTATGTGTTGATTCGTTGTTTACACCGTATGATCACGATTAGGGAGCAAAATGGTAAATAATAATTTTATCTGCTTCTTTATACATAAAGGTTTACCGGTTGCCAAGACACGTTTTGCTCTATGTGCGATCTTATATGTCACCAGAGTAGATTACCTCTGTCGGATGGTTGGAGTCTACTAGAGTTAAACGGGACTAGTGTGAACAATAGCTGACCTCGAAGTCACAGCTCACAGCTATTACCAAACGTGGACTACGCTTTCGTCGAATCCAGGTAATATGCCTACTTTGATGGCTTACAACACAAACGACGTTACTACAGAAAGATGTCAGCAGGAGTGGGTTCAAAAACGGAGTGCGTAAAGCACCTCATGGACCACTTCATGGCATGCAGTTGACCGACGCGCGTTGGTTGACCTTGACATTGGAGAGGATCGGTGAACTGTTCAGTATTCGGTGACATGACTGCTGGATAAAGTGACTGGGACCCGTCGACGTTATATTAGCGCTACAATGTCATCCGGCACACAACAGGTTCATATATTTTGTTTCACAATCATCCTTGCAATATGAACTATCTAACAGAATTTTCAGTTGTCCGTTGTTGTTTGTCAAGACTTATCTACATTTGACGTTGTTCTTACTCCAGAAGTTTGTGATTACTGAAGCACACCGGTATTTTATGTTTAGTTCTATGCGGATTAACCTTAAGACTTCAGCTTTTCTTAGTTCAAATTATATTTTGGGATGAGTATCATGCAGTTTCATTGGCTACCACATCCTGTAACTCTGTAGATTTTAATAAAATCCAATGTAACACTATTCAAGCTCGCATTTTCGTTCCAAACTGACACAAACCTCATATTGTCTCGTGGTAGGGCCCAATGCCACTACAATGACAACTTGAAGGAGTACCCATTGTCTCATCTCACAGCTGCTAACTTCAATATCTTATAATGAACACACAGGGCCTCAAATCCACTTATTAGCGGTTAGATACGGTACATCACACTACACGCTCGCTAAGTGTCTCAGTGAACATACGACGTCAGTCCTGTTAAGTGTGTAACAACAACCATCTTTGTGGGAGATATTTATTTTCTGAATATAATGTAATGCTCCTATTTTTCATAAGTAGAGCAGATTGCAGTTAAAAAATCGGAGTAAAATGATAATATACAGCAGACGAAGTTTATGTAAATTATCTTCATTGATGGCCTTAAGTATAGTATAAGTATATTATCTTAGGAGGTTTGTGTCAGTTTGGAACGAAAATGCGAGCTTGAATAGTGTTACATTGGATTTTATTAAAATCTACAGAGTTACAGGATGTGGTAGCCAATGAAACTGCATGATACTCATCCCAAAATATAATTTGAACTAAGAAAAGCTGAAGTCTTAAGGTTAATCCGCATAGAACTAAACATAAAATACCGGTGTGCTTCAGTAATCACAAACTTCTGGAGTAAGAACAACGTCAAATGTAGATAAGTCTTGACAAACAACAACGGACAACTGAAAATTCTGTTAGATAGTTCATATTGCAAGGATGATTGTGAAACAAAATATATGAACCTGTTGTGTGCCGGATGACATTGTAGCGCTAATATAACGTCGACGGGTCCCAGTCACTTTATCCAGCAGTCATGTCACCGAATACTGAACAGTTCACCGATCCTCTCCAATGTCAAGGTCAACCAACGCGCGTCGGTCAACTGCATGCCATGAAGTGGTCCATGAGGTGCTTTACGCACTCCGTTTTTGAACCCACTCCTGCTGACATCTTTCTGTAGTAACGTCGTTTGTGTTGTAAGCCATCAAAGTAGGCATATTACCTGGATTCGACGAAAGCGTAGTCCACGTTTGGTAATAGCTGTGAGCTGTGACTTCGAGGTCAGCTATTGTTCACACTAGTCCCGTTTAACTCTAGTAGACTCCAACCATCCGACAGAGGTAATCTACTCTGGTGACATATAAGATCGCACATAGAGCAAAACGTGTCTTGGCAACCGGTAAACCTTTATGTATAAAGAAGCAGATAAAATTATTATTTACCATTTTGCTCCCTAATCGTGATCATACGGTGTAAACAACGAATCAACACATAATGATCGCGGCTCTCTGAACCTTCATCGTTCAGCTTGCCTTCATGTGGCATGAGCTGTGTCCAGTTCATGAAAAAACGTTGGATGGTCTATTTTTAATAACTAACCTTCTTCAAGTGATGGACAGCATTCCTGAATTGGTCTAAGTTTGTCAGATCACTGGGCCTCTCAATTCTTTTGAATACATATTTGCGGTCCACAACTGAACACTCAGTATTTGTTCGACTCTTTGACGGAGGGGTTCGTTCACAATACTGAAGAGAATAACAGACAGGGAATCGTTTTCTTTCGAGGTCTTCGATAAGCAGCATTTAGAAATGTGCATGCGGACAGTTGGAAAATCTCATCTCGCAGCAACACTGATCATAGAAAAAAAACAATTGGCGTGATGCCTGACATATACAAGAAAATACTCAAATCAAAATGTATTAAAATTTTGTAATATAAAACACGTAAATTGTTCGTGAGGAATACACTTACCTGAGTATTTATTGTAGTGAAAGTCGAGAAAACAAACTTATTCGAAAAAAGACCACCACATGAATTACAGGATTTTGACACTCCGAAAGTCTAAATACTGCAGGGACACTTAAAAGCCGGCAGAAAAACACAGAACGAAGAAAGTCCAACGTCATTGCTGGCAAAAATTTCGGAGATGTTAGTTCACGCTTCATTTTGATTGGTCTTGGAATGCTAGTACGATACACCCTACTTCCCATGTACTAGGAATAAATAACTCTTTACAACTGATACCGACAACATTAGTTTCACTGACAAACCTTGGCTGAATGTGTTCAGTCAAACATCATCTTTAGATCACCATTAGATAAGTCGTGTTATGGATAACTCACAGTCACTAGTCGGCTTATGTTACATTATTCTTGACTCGTCGTCCGTCTTCCAAATATATCTTCAAAGCCCTGTAACCGGATTTAATATAGTCGATTGTATAGGTATTACGGACAACAGAGCTGTCATGCACGTGTCATCTTTAACTATTTTCTGTGAAACGTAAAGAAATTTGAATGGAATCTAACGAACTTCTTGCTAGCCAAATTTATGATAAGTGCCAAAAATTTTACAATGACAAGCGTATCAAAGAAACTGCACTAAAATGGCTAGGCCTTTTTTAATTGGGCTGATAATTCATTACATGTTTACAATCTGTAAACTAAAGTATTACCTAACTCGGCAGATAGTAACAGAAACTACTTACTTGCTCACGAAAAAGCTCAAAATTTGCCATATTTTTAGTTTCATTAGGAGCAGCATCTGGATCTGATGCTTCACGATCACACTAATAACTAACCAAAGTTTTTTCTCCACTTCGTTTTATGAAACGAACAAAAACTATACTGATCCGTTATTAGGACTTCCTACGTACAACAGACGCAGATTTCAAGGAAAAACAAGTTGATAATTTCACCCCAGAAAATTCAAAGGGTCATTCTTAATCATGTTGGTTTTGCAATTTGAAGTCGTTTCACAAAATAAATTGGACATGGAAGACGACCTAGTATCTATTTATGAAAGTAGCGTTACTGTTTATTTCTAGTGGAGTATGGCAGCGCACACAGTCTTTCATTCCGATAGTCGTGTATCAAACATTCCCACAAAGCAAAAACGCTTGGCGCATATGTTTCTTAGTCCATTTAGGCGTTTCAATCACAATGGCAAGAAACGTTCGGACAAACATTTATCTTCTGCTGAACTGTTAGATAGTTGCACGGTTAATTTAAACACAAATGGTGGTCTCGACGTTCTCCCAGTTGCTGCATGTCCCAATTCAGGTTAGCACTTTACAATGTGCCTCGACTCTCAAGTTTAATTTTATCAGCTTGTTCAAGTTTCACAATATTTGTTTTTTTTTTTGTTTTAGTTCGAAACAACTCCCTCCTAGTTGATGGTAAGTATGCATAGACACTTATTACGGTGTATGTTTACTTCTTGTCTCATTACAAGCATCAATAAGTTGCATGAGACACACTGTGGTCACTGCTTTAAGTAGGTTTCCTGATTCTCAGAAACTAGTTTCAATCATACTATTGTTTTGAAGTTTCAAATTGTCTGTAATATTACTACACTGCGTGTAAATGAGAAGTCTAATCGTCGGGTCGTCCCTTTTAGTTTCTTTTTTTTAAAGACTGGTACTTCAAGTCTTTGTTTTTTATATTTATTCAAAATCCACCTAATAAAGTGAAGATGTAGATTCAAGTTAGTCAGTCGTGTTTTTCAGATCTATTTTAATGTCCGGTATTAATTTCTTGAGAATTCCCAAGTATGTGTTTTTGTTTTAAATGGAGATATATACTTTAAAATTGTTTTTTAAGAAGGTATGAAACCTTTTTATTTGCCAGTACCTGTAACTAAGGCTTAATAGTGTCAATGTACTATACAAATTTTTTTATTTGGTATCTGTATATCGAATAAGACTCAAACAAGTAACTAGTTTCCAAACAATTGCCGTGTCTTGGAGATCAAAGTAATCTTAGACGAGACTTTCCATCCTCAACATCATGTGTATGAAATAAGAGGAAGTTTTAGCTGAGGTTGTTAAGTGCACCTATTGTTTCAAAGCCGTTTTCGAAGATCTCATCAAGCAATGAAGCTGAGTTTTAGATTAAGCTATTTCCAGTGTTATTGATTTACTAGAAAACCCAGTTGACCATTAGTTGAATTTACAATGCACTAATAAGTGATTGAGTCTTGTCAATTTTTGTAGGTTATTTTAGCTCATATAATTCACTAGTAAGTTATTCAAAAGACATGCAGCTACATGAAGTTATAACCCCAACCTGCTTTAAATTCTGCTTTCTCATGTGTCTGACAATAAGACATGTTACTCCTACTGCAGTTGCAAATGTTTCTTGGTTCCAAACTATTAATGGTTAAATTCGAACTGCAGTACTTAACTCCAGCCGGTGTTCGAATTTAATTCGCCCAGACATCACATGTTTCAATATCATACAATTTTGATTCATCCCTCAGCTTGTGAAACTGCAGGATGTTTCAGGAGGAACATTAATTTTTGACTTCTTTTCACCACTCTTTTGACTTGCAACCTTAATAATTTTAATACATATATAAGTGAAGTATAATCCACACAAATTACAAGACATGCCTCTGTATTAAGGAATCTATCCGGTCCTAAATTTAGTAGCTGTCGTAGTTCAGGCTTCTGTAACTTATGCTTGGAATATGTTTAAATTCACAAAACCTACAATCCTGAAAACCTTGGGCTCCTATAGGTCAAAAAACTTAATGAATATACAGATTTCTATTTCTCGTCCTGAATATCCTCCTTTTTTGAACTACAAGACGAATCGAATAAGCACTTTCTTTGCATTCAGCTTTCTATATCTTTCCGAAATTTGTTTCTATTAAATTTTGTTGTGTGTATTATGCAGAATTCATTGACTGTAAATTATTATGTGGATTAAAGTGATAATTAAAGTATGAAAGTCAGACTTGATTACACAGTGATCAAGGACAAATTCGCTTTTTCGATCGATTATTTAAAACTTAAGAATTAAAAATCTTTGAGTCCCAAGTGAGTACTAGATATCCTTCCCGTTCAACTGAAAAGTTTTTGGTTATATTTTCGTTCTGTGGCAAATTATGACACAAATGATTATTTAACAGTCCTTAACTCGCTTTATTCCTTGACATATAAGGTATGTTTAGTCCCATTAAACAATTCTTGTCCCAGCATTTCTTAACAGAAGTGTACCAACCTGGCAAATGTTTTTGTGGTGAAACTGTGTGCAAATACAATCACTTGGGGATATGCTGTGAGGTGATCAAGTTTGTAGTGTCTGTCATTATGTTAAGCCCAAATACCTTATTATTCTAACTTTCGGACAACCCATTCTATTCATTCTATTTGAGTCACATTCTGACCTTGTTAATTATTCGCTTATCAATATCTTGACTGTCTTTGTATGAGCGCGTAGGCGTATGCACACTTCTTATCCCGTTACTCATCGCATGTATATAATTATTGACTTAAATCGCGTTAGTTAATAGCGGAATTAAATAAGTCAAATAACGAGGATGGAATTTTGAATGCATATATTTTGTATAATTGTTGATTAGACAAACGAACAGAGGAACGATACGAAGATGGGAAAGCGAAGCTAAATTGGCGCGCGGTGGAGATGGCTGGTAAGCCAACACCCTCTTAACAAAGAGCTGATCAATATTTATAAGCCCACAAAAATAAATTACAGACATATGATGGGTAACGGGATAAGAAGTGTGCATACGCTACGCGCTCATACAAAGACAGTCAAGATATTGATAAGCGAATAATTAACAAGGTTAGAATGTGACTCAAATAGAATGAATAGAATGGGTTGTCCGAAAGTTAGAATAATAAGGTATTTGGGCTTAACATAATGACAGACACTACAAGTTAAGTGATTTTCCACATCATCTGTCATTGATTTACTTTGACAAAAAACAACAATTCTTTCATCATAACCAGAAATTCATAACATAAAGGTATACAGACAACATGATCTTGCTAGTTAGTTTCAATCAAATATGCATGCTTCTAGTCACCTTGGGCGATATATAATATCTTCTAGTATTTGTTTTCAATATACTACAATGAAAATCTGTCTTTGATATTGTTTTTCATATGTGTCATTTCGTTAGAAAGATGTCATATTGATTAAAAATGTTAACTAATTAATTTGGTCGCGAAGAATCGCATCAACATTGTCAGTTTAGGGTTCTAAAAACGGCATAGTATGTATAATTTAGTCTTCTTATAGGGTCCAAGATACTTGTACTAGTTTAACCCATCTGAATCGGCCAGTCTTCTTCGAGATGAGTTAATCGATTACTCCATTATTATTAGTCGCGATTTTAAAAAAATAATTTTTATATATTATTAGAGTTAAAATTCAAACTAAAGAAAATACATTTTTTGGTTCATGCTGGATAACCTAAAACACTCGTTTTATTGTATTATATTAGGTTCACTTATGAGTTAAACTGTAGATTTATCGTGCTCTTTTACAAGAGAATAACTTTTTTTGCTGAATGTATTATCTTATGTTCATTGATAATTTAGTATGAAAAAATAAATTTGTAGTGTACTGTTTTGTCTTCTAATCATAGATTTGTTTTATGAAAAAAACTTCGATGTTACAATTAGTGTTATATCATACCACTGGGTATATTGATAATAATGTTTGTACTCTAAATGCTACTGTGATGTGTTACTGATGTCGACAGATATAAGTAGTATGTATCATCAATCGAAAATGAAATGCCTGGTGGCAGAAGATTAAGAAGATCGGAGAAAAGAAAACGAGAACAGTGAATGATTGCTGTGGAAGCGAAGAAACAATGAAGTCTGAGACAATTGAATGACATTTCGCAAATTAAGTATTTACTGTATGGTTCTCAGATTTTACTAAGATGTTCTGCAGTTATGTGTTCAAATACATTCGATTGTCCTCATTTATGTTCTCGTTCACCACACTATTATTACGTGGCTTTTTGTTGATGATTTATTACAACTCATGTGCTGTACGTGCATAAAAGATTTTGGATTGAATCTTTGCTGAAGATGAATTATGCAGGATTCTGGTGAATAGAATTGGCATGACTTCGTCTTTTCAGTTGTCATAATAAGATGACCTAATTATTTTTCTAAAGGGTTTATTTCAAAAGTTGTTAACTAATCTCTTGATTAGAAGCTTCCCTTTCTGGTGAAAAACGTTACATAAATAGTGATTTCCTCAGCAGAGATACTTTATACAACCTTCCTAAAATTTATTATAAGTGAATTTGAGTGAGCCTAATGATGACAATTATCTCTGTGTTATCTCCTTCCACTTTGATAAGCTGCAATTCACATGTTTAATTAATCAACTTTCTACCATTGGATCATGGTTCGTAAACCGCTCTATTCAGATATCAAAGTATCAGTTACCCTTACCTAATAAATTAAGTTCACGACCTTTTGAATAAATGTACATGTAGATGCTTGTTATGGACTTTTCTTCCCAGTGACTGACTTATAAGAAATAAATGTTCATCAAGTTTCTTCGTCAGTGAAAAGTTTCTGTTAGTTATGTATCACATTCTGTAGAATAATACGATGTGAGTGCTTTTTCTTTTTTTCTAAAATCATGTTCTCTAGAAGGCAACTACCGACCAGAAAAATGCTCTACTCCAATAGTTCATCTTGAATCACGTGTTAATCTTGGTTATTCTGTAAGCTCTATTTTGGTTCGATTATGATATGTTATTCAGACTTCTGTAACTCAATCCCACTTCACCGAAGCCAGTAATCCTATGAGTGAATTAAATACTTATGTCCGAGGGCAGACTACTGAGTTGGCTTCCAGTATCAACCAACGCTTAATGACTCAATCTTCGCAACCTCTTAAAAAGTTAAATAGAATAAAGAAATATATAACAAGTCACCAAGTAACTTATCCTCAATTGACACCGGTTAGCCGGAATGCTTTAACTCGCGTTTCTGAAATATCTAACCAAACAACCATCGATAAATCCAAGTAATTAAGCTGTTTTCTTACTATTTTTCAAGTTTTTTAGTTTGTCTATTATAGTAGATTTATATTTAACTAAGTTATATGCTCGTTTATATGTTTTCATAAGGAAATCAGACTAATATTATTTAACTAATATTTCCAATCATTACAATCATTTCGAAGTCATTACGGTTTATATGCTGTTGTCATAATTATACTAGGTTTTTCTTGAAACATAGTGGTAATTTCGTTTTGATAGTCTATAATTAGTCTTTTATAAATTAAATTTCTTACAGCTTTTCAGTATGGTGTGTGGAGATTGTTGAATGTCACTGAAATCATAAATCGATCTTAGTTAGACCACCAACAATGAAATTCAATGATCTTCACAATCCCATACAGAAAATCACAATGTGCTTACTAGTGACTAGCTGTCAGAGGGAATTTCCAGAGTTCTAGTGAAAAGCCGTGACCGATAAAACTAATCCGTGTCGGGTGTGAGGCCTTTACTTACCTTATACAGTGGAAGATATTCATGCGATGCCATTGACCGGTTGAAATTAGACTTTTACACCAGTGATTACCAGCTCGGTGGTCTATGGGTTAAGCGTTCGTGCGCAAAATCGAGGGTGCTGGGTTCTACTTACGCGTGTGGGATCGTAAATGCTCACTCCTAAGTAGTCACATGCTAGGATGAAATGGCTGTCCAGTGCTTCCAGGTTTTCATTGGTGGTCTAACTCAAATCGATTTATGATTTTAATGGTTTTCTTACGTATTTGAAATGGAGGTGTACATTTTATCGTATCTGGAACTCGTTAGGTGGATGTACCAGCATTCAGATTTTGCCGTTTCTTCTGAGATTTAGATCCAGTACTCTTCAGCTATGAAGGGGAATACCCTTTAAATCAGTGTCCTATTTGTTGAGAGTCTAGTACTTTAAAAAATTCATCACTGCTTCCATATGGTTGTTATTAAAAGAAGGTTTTCCATATGATTTGTGATATACTCGGGACTAAATGTTCACTTAATACTACAGGTATTTAAACCATCGTATTGACCTCTACATGTTACCCATAGGTTACCCAAACCTCAAGCCTCTATCGCTTTCACAATGACTTCAGTATTCAAAATCTCAAAACTGCTTACTATCCTATGGTTTACGATACTTTCCACTATGCTGGGAGACGTCCTTATTAACATCACCATGAGAATTTTCTAAGTGTTTAAAGCCTTCATTCGCTCAATTATGATGATTATGATATCACACACACTTCGACGTCCAGTTATAAAACTCTTTGGATAATAATCTATCTATCATTCATAACGGTCTAAGCACTTGACAGAAGTAGTGTGTGTTTTTAAATTAACTGGATATTTTTACTATATCTTAACCTTCATGTGACAGATAATCCTAAATCAATGCTTCATCGTTTACGATACTCCGTATTTCAGTAACTTCTAAACAATACCTTGTACATTATTCATTGCATTATTGTCTTGTACGCTTTTAGAAGAAACGCAGTTTGTTACAATAAGAGAAATGTAAAGATTTCGTCCACAGCTTGCAATATGATGGTTGTGCCCATATCTAAATCAGATTTGTATTTGGTAGGACGTCTTGTGAACGGTGAGACATATTCTATGTCTGTATTTTCATCAGATTCTACTGACAATCTCCATTGTGACTCACCACCGTCGGATCCTTACGTTTCCTCCAATAACATGAAACCTTCTCCAAACTCAATGTTGTGTATTTACAGATCTCCTAGCAAAAGCTCAAAAAACGCACAATCCTTCATGCATTCTTTTCAAAAGGATGATAAATTCCCAAAACCTTCTGAAAATTCTACCACTGAAACTTGCGCGAGTCTGATTGATTGTAATAAAGTATCTGAATGTGAAACTGATGGTATTTGTTCTTCGGATTCGGCTAAAACTATTACATTCAATCCTTCACCAATCTTGTCAACTTCAAAAATTACTCATTTATCATCATCGTCATCACCAAGTCCAACTAACGATACGAAAGCGGCTGAGACCATACCTACTATTAGTCAGACATTGAAACACTCACATTTATCTAACCGTGCTTATCCTTTTGGCAAAGATTGTCGTTTTGTTTTTTACAATTCTGCTGATAGTGATGAAGAAGATATTTACAATTTATCCGCACCTAGCCAAACTCTCACTTCACTTATCAAGGCTCGTCAAGCACATAAAGATATGTGGACAAAACGAGCTGATCGCATCAATCGCTTTTTAGCTTGTAGACCTTGTCGTGAAGATTTGATATCTAAAAATATAATTCCCAGTACCACTTTAGAAGCACGTGCTGAACTGCGGATTGATATTGAAGCGTCACTTGAGCGTCGACTTAATCAACGTCCTACAACTGATGAATTGAAACAGAAAAATATCCTTCATGGTAATTTTCATGTGTATTTGATTACAGGAAATTTTATGGTTAATAGGACAAGATTTTTGACAGTGATTCATATATATATATATATATATATATATATATAGGGCGTTGAAAAGTCGTTTCATTTCCCTACGGGACTCGTCACTTGTTTGGAATCTAACATGAAGACGTTTGGCGTAAATCATGCCCAACTATTGGTGTTCGAAAAACCTCTATACTTCATAGTCAGTTTGATGACATTCACTAATAATGTGTATTGTCACTGTTTAAAAATTTGACTACTATAACTCTATGGTCTTACAATTAAAACTAGTAAACAGATCAAATGACTCAATGGAGATCTCGTCTTTTAGTTTGAACTTTAATACTTATCTATATATTTACACTCATTTTGGAATGTTACGTTTATGTCAGCAATTAGTCTTCATTACTGTAACATATTTAAACATACGCACTAATTTTATCTTTTAAATATGTTTATCCTAATCAACCAACATGACTTTTCATGTACTTGTTTGTGTGAACATTCGGTTTATTCAATAAGGATTCTGTTATTAAGAATGCATACAAATGTTTTCGTTTTTTTAATTATTCTTCCATTGACCAAGTTAATTGTTACTTTACCTTTCAGTGGACACCGAAGAGGTGCGTAATAAGATTAAAGAAGAACGAAAGCAAATTTTAACTCGCAAGGTAAACCGTACTTCTATATCTTTTGTCGGATGTTTTCTAGTATGAAAGAGTATCCCATACAATGGTTTTTGACTATCGAAGTCCTGTTATAATCTAAATTTTGTTTATATTGTCACAGAACTTTGGAATTTTTTCTTGATGGACATTAGAAAGGAAGTTATATTTATAAACAATTTCAGCAGTTGTAGTTCAAGTATGGATCCACTGTTTCTCTCACCTGTCTAATCTTTCTTCAGTAGAAATAATCAAACATCAAAATTATCGAGTATAAACATTGCGTTTACAAATTGATTTTGTACTAAGCATTGTTAATAATCCTGAGAGTTTGTTGCAGTGTGGGTATCAGTCATTTAGTGTAGTATATGTGAATGTACGTAAATTTGACGTGAGAAAAAATTATTAACCATATATGGCCCCACTCTATGATCGTTGATATAATCAAACAATCCGATAGATATTATAATAAACTAAACTTGTCACAATATGTATGGAATTACAATAAGTAAATAAATTCATATAGGTTTGTGTCATTATGCTAAGCAAGTTGGTCGTTCATTTTATATCTAAACATATTAACTGATTGGAACAAATGAAAGTATACCGTTGTTGTATACAAATCATGAGACGAATTAGCAGTAGTTAGATCAAATTCAGATCTATTTAGTAGTTATCGGCTGCCATGGTACAGATAATAATTTTCCATCTCTTCTATTCATATCGTTTGAGTTCCCGTTTATACGCAGGGGATCTCAGTTGTCGAACCTCTTTTATACTAAGCGAAAACTTTTTAAAAGGTTCTTGTCCAATTAAAGTCAACTGTACGTTCAGATTCTGTTCAGTGTAGTGCTATCATCCTAAATGCTTTCTAGTATATAAAGATCTAAAGATTAAGGAATATGCTTCGAGCAAAGTCTGTGTCCCGTCATTCTCACACTCAATTACTGTGATGTTTTACTTATATATGTAACATTAGTCATTAAATTTGACCGAATAGACACAATACGATTAATCTTGTCTTAATATTGGGTTTTTGACTCTTGCTGGCGTTCAGCAAAGAGTACTGTTCCTACGAAAAAACGCTCTTATATTGTGATAATTCAGGAGTCTTCTGATTTCTGCCGAAATTCCGTTGACATTTGGGATCATCACCAAATTAATGCATTCTTTTTTCACTTATATTTCGGTATATATTAAAAATTCTCCTTATAAAATGACTAGGATAATTATTCGTCGTCAAAGTGCACAAAACCAAATTCTGCTCAGCTTATCCGTCTTCCAGTTTTGTGTCAGTCAATCAGCTGCAACATAGGACCAGGCACGTATATCCATCAGTCCAAGTTGCCATACCGCATTAGCACAACAAGATGAACACCGGATTCATAGAAGTAGTTAATTCAGTGGTGGTAATATATAGAAGAAAGATTGTGTATATGGAGATAGTACAGGAAGAAAGAATTAGTTCCTAGAAAGAAAGATATAAAGTGATTTTAATCTCTTAGTTTAAAGGAAGACAGAGAGTGTATACACCGACGCCATTGTGATTGATTCCGAGCCATGTCACCAAGAATCTCCAACCATTGGTTACGATAGTCACGCGGACCCTAACCAGGTAGTCTGCATCTACCAACATGGCTCAGCCCAGAAGTTAGTGACTTCAAGCACCGATGCCACGTTTTGGTTTGGCCACCCCTAACTTTCTTCCAACCATCCACAACACTAGTCAGCATTGCGCGTCGTGGTAATCGGTGTTCAGTTATGCGCAACACGTGGCCCAACCATCTCAGTCGATGAAGATTCATAACCTCATCAACTGATTTACAATAATTCCCTAGTACCCTGCGTCTAACCTCACTATTACCTACCCGGTGATTCCAGTAGATGCGAGCAATATTTCTAAGGCACCTGTGGTCAAATACTAGTAACTTACGAGTACCTTCTACACTTAAAGGCCAAGTTTCGCAGCCGTATAGTAGAACGGAACGAACTGCCGCACAGAATACTCGTCCCTTAATTGATAGACGGATATCTCGCCTTCGCCATAGGTGACGTAAGTTGGCAAAAGCCAAACGAGCTTTTCGAGTCCGTACAGAGATTTCGTCAGACACCAACCCATTAGGGCTGATCAGACTTCCAAGATAAGTGGAGTTGTCAACGCGTTCGACTACTTCACTCCCTATCGTTAGTTCGGGCCAGTCCTGAAGCAATAATTTGCATTTAGAGGGAGAGAAACGCATCCCAAACACTCTGGCATTGTTGCTCAGTGCTACCAAAAGACTCTGCATTTTCTCAGCGTCTTCACCAAACAGGACTATGTCATCTGCGTATTGTAAGTCAATAAGTGGACCTCCTGGAAGGAGATCAATACCTGAGAATCCAGTCGATGAAAGCGTTATTTCCATCACTAGGTCTATGATGAAGTTAAACAAGAATGGAGAAAGTGGACAGTCTTGACGGACCCCACTTGAGGTTGCAAAAGCGGATGACAGTTCGCCATAAGCTCTGACTCGACTAGTAGTGTTCGAGTAAAGAGCCTTCACAAGGTTTATGTACTTCTGAGGTACGCCTTTCAATGACAGACACTGCCACAGAACCTCTCGGTCTACAGAGTCAAATGCTGCTTCCAAGTCGAGAAAGACCACCATTGTCGGACGCCGATAAGTATACCTGTGTTCTAGAACCTGACGAATGGTGAATATGTGGTCGATGCAGCCGCGACCATATCTGAAGCCAGCCTGATTTTCACGTGTTTGCAGTTCACGAGTCTTAGTTAGGCGTCCGATAATTATCGAGGCTAGTATTTTAAATACTATATTAGTCAAACTAATCCCTCTATGGTTGTCACAGGATGATTTTGACCCTTTCTTAAATATTGGGACGATAAGTGATTGTGACCAGTTAGATGGGATAACGTCTAACTCCCAGATTTTAGCTAAAATATTAGTCAACCTAATCGCTAAACCTAGACCACCATCCCTAAAAACCTCTGGGGCCAATCCGTCTGGACCAGCTGCCCTTCCTCGTTTCAGATTAACTATAGCATTTTGAACTTCAGCTAGAGTTGGGGGACCTACTTCAATGTTCCATTCACACTGTCTGGGAATAGAGGGTAGTTGTTGAGTAGCTGAAGGCCAGCTAAACTGCTCCTTAAAATGTTCCGCCCATCGTTCTAAACGTCTGGACTGGGGGCAGATAAGAACGTCGACTTTTTCCGAAATAATCTGACTTACCCTTGACTTTTTAATTCCAGTTTCTTTTATTAGTCTGTAGAGTTGTCTTGTGTTCCCTATAACCGCCGCCTTTCCCATCTCTTTTGCTTTCATTGCCCACCACCGCTCACGATCATTCCTCAGACTTTTGCTTAACCTAGATCTGATTTCTTTACGCTCTTCATCGTGTTCAAAACGTGATGGGATGAGTTTACGAGAATCCATCAGTGCAACAGACCTTGAAGAATTCCATTGGTTCTTTGTAACCCTGTGGTTTAAATCACTAACAGATGTCACTGCTGTTTCCACAGCTGCTTGTATGTCTTTCCAATCAACATCGGGTTCAGCCTCGTTTACAGAACTACCTAAGTGTGACCTCAGTTGTTCCTGGAACCTACTTTTTGCTTTCTCATTACTCAATTCGGTTCTAATGAGTCTTTTTTGTGTGGCTCTTTTGCGTCCAGTGAGGCGCAAGCAGATGCGTGCTCGTACTAGGGCATGGTCGGAGTCCAAGCAGGTACTCCAGAATGAGCGACAATCTCCTACCGACCCTATCCAACGATGACTGATGGCAATATGGTCTATTTGAGTCCATCGTTGGTTTGGTGCAGGGGGTCGCCATGTTAGACGATGTCTCTCCTTATGCTTAAAATTTGTGTTTGCTAAAAATAAACGATTGTCTGAGCACAGTTGCAGCAGACGATCACCATTATCTGTTCGCTGTGCCGGAATACTAAAATACCCACCTAAATGTCTTTCTGTTTGGTTTAAGCTACCTACCTGGGCATTAAAGTCACCTGCTACGAGTACTATGTCTGAACGTTTAGCTTTCTGAAGAAGTTCAGAGAGTTTTCTGTAAAATTCATCTTTCACTTCATCCGAACTGCAGTCAGTGGGAGCGTAGGCAGAAACGACGAAAAGGCAACGACGTATGTCCCTATCCTTCCGAGTTCTTACGGAGCCGTTTAGCCGAACAGCGCATAGACGACTGTTTACGGGGATCCACTCTAATAGCGCTTGTTCCGCCCTCATGTTTAGTGCTATGCCTACACCTGCCAGTCCACGAGAACTAGCCATCGGGTGGCCAGATACACGGAGGGTGTATATCGTCGGCTCTCCGTTTTGCTGAGGTGAGGTCAAGTGAATGACCACACTAGGATCCTGTATGCGTGTTTCGGAGACACAGCATACATCAATGGTACGAGATTCTAAGGTTTTAGCCAAGGAAGCCTGCTGACCGATTTGGCATAGTGTGCGTACGTTGAAGGCTCCAATGTGTAGTTTGGATCGAGGTTTCAGTAGACCTGGTACAGTGTTTTGCGCACTAGTATCGTTGGCTGTGGTGACACTTGAGGAGGAAATCAAAAGGGGAAGTTTAGTGTAGAAAGTCGATGTAGGAGGAATAATAGGAATTGAAGAGGTAGGTTGATTATGAATACAGTGGTCTTGAGTGCTGTTAGAGGTATGAGGGCGGTTATCACTCCTCGGTTGCCCCCACCGTGGGAGGGTTCTGCTGGAGGTACCTGAAAAGGAAATTGGATTAGAGGTGGTCATAGTGACCCGAGAGCGTGACCGCAGTGCACAAGGGACAGCTGCTTGAGGTCGGCCACACACGACCTTATTATGAGTAATTTTTGTGTTAGCTCCGTACTTGTTGAGACCTTATCGCCGGAGACGGATATCCGTGGGATAAGGCGAGGTGTGCATTTTTGGGGTCGATATTTTATAACCCCATTCCTCCTTGTGGGAAGGCAGCATCGCTGTTATGCTGGTTGTCTGAAGGAAACACGTTAC